CTATCTCCTGTGAGTTTGTATTTATTTGTGACCCAAAAGACAAGAGAAAACACAAACCATTAGGAAGAGCTCAGTTTTATGAAAGTGGAAGAAAAGCAAGCCCTGTGTTTAGGTGGAGAGCCAAAAGCTAACGTGGGTGTCAATCCAACTTCAAACGGTAGTAACATCAGGATCCAAACAAAACGAAGCCATCCATTTGTCTCAGGTCAAGGAGCTCCAAGGAAACTGGAAACCTTCTGGCGAAACACTATTGGCCAGCCATCTACTCACTCAACGTGTCATTATTTATTATGATTTAACAGTCTGGAGGTTTTGATCCCTATAGGAGTTTCAAACTCCTTAATTGTAGAACTTCTCTTATTGGGTTACTTTTTATTAACAACGAATTGCTGATCTCAGTATGTCTAAAATGTAGGGGGTTCCCTCTAGTTAGTGTGTTTGGTGTTACGGCGATGGACACAAAGTCTCCCCTTTATCTACAGGAAGCCACACAGGTTACATGGTAACGCCCAAGGCTATGGCTTGGCCACTCCTTAGTGAAATCCCTTTTTTGAGATAAACGGGTCACCACTAACCCATAGCAGCAGCTGAGCTCTGGCGGGAGTCATCTGTCATCTCAGTCGCCCAAGTCATCTCAGACAAACAGATAGTCTCCATTTTCTGGCCTTGCCAGCATGCTGCCAGCTCTGCTAAATCCCTTACCCGCCAGACTCCTTTTCGCTTCTCTTAGAACCTTTCAAGTGATCATTTGTGGATCAAGGAAGCAGAGAAGATAGTGAAATTTTTATGCTTCTTCGTGATTATTTATGCATCACACCACATCCTCAGTGTGTGCGACGGTCAAGATTCTAACAAGAAGTTTCCGCCTCCCATGACCAGCAGGTCTCAGGTGCTCAGATCCCTAGGCTGTCTGGAACACTCGCTTTCCCCATTTCTTTTCTCTTAAATACGAAAAGTGTTTGATACCTGTGAACCTCCTCAACAAACAACCTTGGCCACAATTTTCTGATTATAACTCGTATAAGTGAGGATCCAACTCATCCCCACAAAGAGTTGCTGTTACTTACCCAAATAAGCAAGACAGTAAAGAAGGGACTCATGGAGCTGGCCTCAGTTTAGCCAAGATTTGGTATGCCTGAGTGCCATCTGGCCAAAGGGGTCTCATCTGTGGTGGTTTAACAATTCGCTGTGACCAATAGAACATGGTAGAAGTGGTGTTATATGAGGTATGGGACTTGAGTCTCAGATATTGACATTTCATCTTTTCTCTCTGGAACAGCTGCAGCACGCTACAAAGAAGCTCAGGAAAGTCCGTGAGGAGAAGAAAGGACAAGCTCCCAGCTGACAAATGATTTGTATGTGTGTCCCTCAAGGGCCCATGTATAAAAAAGAAAAAAGAAAAAAAGAAAAGCCTTTAAAAGGCTCATGAGTTAGGACTTGGCCCCCAGGTGTAATGTACTAAAGGGTAACTGGACCGTGAGAAGGGTAACTGCATCACAGGCCGTCTTACCTAAAGTTTCTACTGCTGTGCAGAGACACCATGACCAAAGAAACTCTTATAAAGAAAACCATTTAATTTGGGCTGGCTTATAGCTCAGAGGTTTAGTCCATTATGTCATCACGGCAGGAAGCATGACAGCATGTAGGCAGGCATGGTGCTGGAAAAGAAGCTGAGAGTTCTACATCTGGATCATCAGGCAGCAGGAAGAGAATGACACTGGGCCTGGCTTGAGTTTTTTTTTTTTTTAATTGAAAAAAAAATTTCTGCCTCCTCCCAGCCTCCCATTTCCCTCCCCCTCCTCCCGCCCCTCTCCCCCTCCCCCCACTCCTCTCCCCCTCCCTCTCCAGTTTGAAGAGCAGTCAGGGTTCCCTGCCCTGTGGAAAGTCCAAGGTCCTTCCCCCCTCCAACCCCCCCCTCCATTCAGGTCTAGGAAGGTGAGCATCCAAACTGGCTAGGCTCCCACAAAGCCAGAACATGAAGTAGGATCAAAACCCCATGCCATTGTCCTTGGCTTCTCATCAGCCCTCATTGTCTGCCATGTTCAGAGAGTCTGGTTTTATCCCATGCTTTTTCAGTCACAGTCCAGCTGGCCTTGGTGAGCTCCCAATAGATCAGCCCCACGGTCTCAGTGGGTGGGTGCACCTCTCGTGGTCCTGACTTCCATGCTCATGTTCTCCCTCCTTCTGCTCCTCATTGGGACTTTGGGAGCTTAGTCCGATGCTCCAGTGTGGGTCTCTGTCTCTATCTCCATCCATCGCTAAAACCTTCATCTGGCTTGAGTTTTTGAGACCTCATAGCTCCTCGCCAGTGACACTTCCTTCAACAAGATTACACTTCCTGATAGTGCCACTCCCTCTGAACCCATGAGGACCATTTTTCAAACCACCACACTGGGTTAACTCATTGATGAGCTTCGTGGCTTAAGGAGCTATTAGAACTGGGCCTCGTTGGTTAGCTGTACACCACCACACATGGCTATGACCTAGTTACTAAACTCCTCAAAAAGAGGAAATGAGTTTAGGAATTCCAGTCTTGAAGGGAATGTGTCTGTTAGAATATTGAAAGTAAAAATGCCTGAGATACAAAGACCCCAAGAGATTGCAATCTGAAACATTGCTCATTATCTAGATGAGTCATGTGTCCATAACAATACAACAGAATATGAATTTCTTCACAGCAGGACTCAATGAGTAAAATCACAAAATGCAGCTCATTTTGTGATTATATTTCTGAAATGATGCTAAAAGAAGTAAGTCGAGGACATTACTTTTATATTACTTAATCAATCACTTAAACTGAGACATGACCTTGCTGTGTAGTGCTGGGTGGCCTAACACTCATTATGTAGCCCAGTTGCCTTAAATTTATTATGATTCTTCTGTCTCAGCTTTCCTGAGTACTGGAATCCACACCTGGATGATTAAACTCTTAAAAAAAATTTCTTGATTTCATTTCCTTTTTTTTTCCCTTTACAAATTTGCTTTTAAATTCTTCTACAAAATAGAACTGATGGGATTAAATGTATAATGTATTAAGGGTATAAATATTTTAATCAAGAAGAAGGATGTAAGTTAAATTTTTCCTAAATTTGAATATTAGGACCCACACATATAGACATATTGTCTTAGTGAAGATTTCTTTTTTCTCTGTGAAGAAACACCATGATGACGGCAATTCTTATAACCAAAAGCATTTAATTGGGTTGGCTTGCTTACAGTTTCAGAGGTCCAAGTCCATTACCGTCATGACAGTGAGCATGGTGGTGTGCAGGTAGATGTGGTGTTGGAGGAACAGCTGAGAGTCCTACATCTTGCAGGCAACAAGAACGTGACTGAGTGTGGGGGCCCACAGATGTGAGCCTGTTCCACCTTGAGTACAGGTCAGAGAGTTTGAGCTTAATTTTGCTCTTTCAAGGTTGTTGACAACAGGTGTGGCCACAAACAAGAGATCCCGACCTAGGGTGTGGTTAATTAGTATTTTGAGTATAGAGGTGGATCTGCTCCACCTGGACCAAAGGTCGAAGAATTCAAGTCTATTCCTTATATCATGTTAATTAAGTCTGTTGCTTTCCCCTCCCCTTTTGGAGTGAAGTATATAAGCGTGTGGGAAATAAATGTTGGCGGTTCGGTGTTCACTGAATTACCCTCCCAGTGCTGGTCTGTTTCTGTCTCTTATTTCTCTTATATTTCTGTTCCTTTTGCTTAATAATTGTAATTTTCACACTCATACCCTGAAACATATGAGTTTCATTGAGACTAGTCCCCAACAACTGAGACTCTCGGTGGTATCTTGAGCATAGGAAACCTCAGAATCTGCCCCTGCCGTGACGCACTTCTTCCAACAAGGCCACACTCACTCCAACAAGCCACACCCCCTAATAGCGCCACTCCCTGTGAGATTATGGGAGCCAATTACATTCAAACTGCCACACACACACACGAACACAAACACACACATACCATTTTCATGCCTACATCTCATATAGCCCTTTATAAGAATAATTTAAATATGCTTTAAATTTCCAGTGTCTCTATGTGAAATATGAATCATCAATTATTCTGTGAAGATTTGTTTACATTTTAATTATATGTCTCTCTGTGTGGGTACATATATGTGAGTATTAGTGCCCGTGGAGACCAGAGACACCAGATCCTCTGGAGCTAGAGTTAAAAGTGTTGTGTGTGTGTGTGTGTGTGTGCTAGGAACCAAACTCAGATGCGTTCTGGAAGAGCAGTCGATATTCTTAACCACGCAGCTATTTCTCAAGTCCCTTCAATTATTTTATAAAGATTTATTTTTATCTGAAATTGTATGTATGTTTGTGTGTCTATGTGTATGTGTGAAGGGGGTGTCTGTGCACAAGAGTGCAGCTTCCTAAAGAGACCAAAGAAGGGCAGACAGTCCCTGGAGCTGGAGTTACAGGTGACTGTACACCGCTCAACATGGGTATTGGGAACTAAACTCAGGTCCTTTGCAAGAGCAGACATTGCTTTTAATATTCCAAACTTAAGTCCTCAATTGATTACAATGAGTATGGAAGACACAGAGGACAGTACAAATGAATTCTTATATGTAAGAAAGTTTATTAGAAAAACGTGAGATCAAAGGACATAAAAAATTCATTTTAGGGGAAAAATGCAGAATATATCCAAGCTCTCAGGTCTGGGGTTGTAAAATCAATGCTAAGATAAGAGCTGTAGCAAAAGTCTAATTTACTAGGAATAATAATTTAGAGCCATAAAGTTAATCAGTTTGGAGAATTATGATAAATTCTTAGCCCATGAAGTAGAAAATAATTTCTACACTGTACTAATATTGGAAGGAAATGGTAGCAAAAGAAAGAATGTAAAGTGAGCCAGGATGTGCTGTCCTATTCTGGGGAGGACACTGGGCTCTGGAATTGTGCACACATGATGTGAATCAGATTCCATGTGTCCCAAAGCCTCGCATGTAAGAATGGTCTAGAGCTGCAAAGGGAGACGAGCCTAGAGCAGGGACCTCAGCAGCAGCAAGGGGTGGCACAGCACATGGGGCGGGGGCAGGTGGAGATGACACAGGTGGGGCGGTAGCAAGTGCTCTGGCAGCAGACCTGACCGCAGACTGGACGCAGGCAGCAGCAGGGGCGGCAGCAGGGGCGGCAGCAGGGCTGGCAGCAAGGACTGCAACAGCTGGAACCACCACAGGAGGAGGGCTGGCAGCAGCTGGAGATGCAGCAGCTGGGGCGGCAGCAGCTGGGGCGGCAGCAGCTGGACACACAGCAGCTGGGGCGGCAGCAGCTGGGGCGGCAGCAGCTGGGGCGGCAGCAGCTGGACACACAGCAGCTGGGGCGGCAGCAGCTGGACACACAGCAGCTGGGGCGGCAGCAGCCTTGGCCACAGCCCTCCTCAGAGCAGACAGAGCCACAACAGGAGTTGACCATGGTGTCAGAGGTGGAGGGTGGGTTTTCAGAAGAGTGAAGGTATTGGGTTTGGAAGTCTCCTTGGCCCACACCCCCTTTTATACCTGGCTGAACACCTCATATGACTACATCATCATTTCCTTGTTCATACTTACCTTCTTGGGAAACTTAATCATTTAATTGCATAATTGTAATATTTCTAGTTAAATACTCCAAAAAAAAAAAAGAGAAAATAACACATTTTATTTTCCTGGTGGGCTTCCATGTTTGGAACTAAAATGCTCATCACATTTTTTTCCATAGTGGGTCACCTTTGACCTTTTTGCAAGTAACTTGTCACATGACTCTCTGACCTTTTGTTTTCTAAATGTGACACTCCCTCCTCTCTGCACCTGTTCCTTGCCAATCAGGGAAATGTTTTTCTACAAAGTCCAGGATGTCTCTTGCTATCAAGGAGTATTCTATGTAGATGAGATTTGGAGGGGTGGTCAGCAGGGAAGACCCTTTAGAGGGAGACTGTCCCATCTCTCAAGGGGACGATGGTGATAGTGTGCGTCCACTGGAGGATCAGGGAGACGTTCAGACCTGAGAAAGTTCTAAACTATCAAGTCTCATTTCTGCCTCTTGAGTTAAAGGGCTTGGCAATGGCTCAGCCACTTAGAAATAATAGAAATTAAGAATTTTTTCCTTTTAGTTTTTGGGTCTTTTTTGTTTTTGTATGTCTTCCTGGAGAATGATTAAGAGTGGGAAAATTTTATTCACATTTTAATTATGTTACCTCATAATAGTTTTTTTTCACTCACAGAGGCAGCAAGAAAAGTTTACAGAGTAGGCACTATGATTTTATTATTTATTATTTATTATTTATTGTATGTGTGTGGGTACATACCCTCCATGTGGGTCCTAGGGATGGAACTCAGGTCATCTGGAGTGGCAGCTCATGCCTTTATTTGCTAAGTCACCTTGCTGGTCTGATTATCTTTTTCATATATATATGAAACTATATATATATTTCATATATATAAATAATATTTTGAGTTTCTAACTTTGGCAATATATATGCAAGAGTTTTTGCTGGATATTCTAAGCATAGAGCAGGGAGATCCTCATGCCTTTCTGTAAGTGGCTGGATAAGACTCAGGCAGAGGAAACCATTTAACATAAAATAAGGAATTTCAATGACTTCAATGAAATATCTAAAATCAAAACATGCAGTACGTGGATGAGTTTCATGTGCCCTCGGTGGGGGATCGTTTGTAAAATGTCACTATGTATCAGACCCTGTGTGAGTCATGCTATCTTTTTTGCTTTTGTTTTTAATGCAGTTCTGTGAAGTGCTGTGCACTCTTCTTTTGATGGAAGAGCTTCACAAAGCACAGAGAGGCAAAAACTAAAAGATACCTCCAAGAGGAAACACAAAGTAGCTGACCATGCCTCTGAGTACCAAAGGAAGTCTTTGCTGGGCTTGTCTCAGCTTCTGGGAATGCTTCTCATCGGCTCTGCAAAGCCTTCCTCATCCATCAAGACTCACTGGAGATGTTTCCTCCTGCATGGTGTCTGTCCTCATAAACGACCCTCTTCACATGTCACGACCCCCTGCATCGTGCTTCTAGCTTAGCACAAAGAGGTTTGTGTGGAGTGGATGGGCGAGTAGGAGCAGGCCATTGAATATGTTAGAAGAAAGACCCTAAAATGGAAAACAGTCCTCTTCGGGAAAAACTACACTTATTTGTCTAATCCGTTATTTGGTCAAGTGTTCATATTGTTTATGAGACAGCGTTTGCAGTGGTGTGTCACCAGATAAAAGGCTAGGCATAGAAAGCTGCAAAAAACTTGGTTAGCAGAGGCAGACTTGTTTCCAGATATTCTTTAGTACCCTGCGTAATCCACAAGTCTATAGCTGTGGGGGGGGGGGTGTAGGAAGAAGGCGACAAACCGTGACACCTATTCTCTTTGCCGCCAGACCTCCCAGTTTTTGTCTTACTGCTGGAAACACTATAAATTAGCCAAAACCATCACTGAACATCCCTTGGCTTTGCTCGAGTTTTACATCCTACAGGACCCCAGACAAAGACTCCACCCCGGAAGGTACAAGAGAGGAATTGGGGAAAGTGGACAGGAGAGGAGAAAAACAATCCCGAGCTTTTGTGTTAAGGATGGGGTTATACTATAGGCTACAGGGGGCAGGCCAGGGGAAGTGTCTAAGCCTAGAAGCATTAGGCTGCCACGTCAGCCTCCCCAGAATATCTGAGAGAACCAGCTGGGCATTAGTATTAACCATCAAGTCAGTATCATATGAGTTTATGAAAACTGAATGATATCTTAGACATAAACAACAATCCTTCATAAACTGTACTTATCATTCTCACAAGAAGTACCAAAATATGTAAATAAACATGCCAAGCCATATACTCAGCCTGGATGGCACTAAGTACAGACGTTTCTTGAATTATATCAAATAATTTAAAAATAAATGATAGCACCAATAATGAGTGAGTGCTGTTTATTCATTATGGGTATGAATGTGTTTAATGAAGTGTGAAGCATACCAATGGCTCTCGAATGAGATTACAATGACTCACGAAGGGGACTTTACTTTTGGTCACGGACTTTTGTGTTGTTTTAAATTTTAAAGGCTGTGTGAGAAAGAGAGGTGGGGTTCCTATATAAACTCTCTAATTTTCTTCATGGATTACGTACAGTGTATTTCTGCCATTATACTTATGTTCCTGTTTCTATCACTGAAAGACTGAATATTCATTTTAGTGAATGGTTCCAGCTCACAAGTCATGTATCATGAATGGTTTTGGGGGCAGGTGGGAATCTTCAGAAAGCATGCGCTGAGACAGGGAGGAGCGTGCTGGAGGTTCATGGAGACATGCTGTGGGAGACAACGGTCATGGAAGGGAAGGGTTGAGTAGGATTGGGTCCTGGGAAAAACCAGACTGGAAGGCTACCTCCTGCTCGGGCTTAGTCAGTCTTCTGAGGAGTTCAGAAAATGGAATGGTATGTTTACAATCTCTAAATGGAGGAGAGGAATGTGGTTCTTTGTCATGCCGCCCGGGAAAAGGAGGGCAGGTTCAGGGAAGAATCACCGTCTCCAACAACAGCAAAGGACTTCCCCCAGCCCTCCTTTACATCACCTGTCTGCTTCAGAAGTGGTCCCCTAGCCCACTGATGATCTGCCCTCATGAAGTACACATGTGGAGGAAAGGTCTACCACACCTAACTCTGGAGTAGAACACATAATGACTTCATCCAGACATGCACTGGCTGTTTGTATCCCCCCCCCAAAGAGACTGGAAGGTGGTGTGTATTGTGTCCCGTCTTACCTAACGATTTCTCCTGTTATATAATCAGGGCTGCTCCTTCATTTTAATTCCCCTTTCCCTCTAACAACTACAACGTGATTAATTTACCCGAGACAAAGAAGACGTTTTAGAGACAGCGAGGCCGCAGTTAATGCTATTCCACTTCTGTTGGAGGTTTGACTAACATGTCCTGTTTACTTTTAAGGACAGTAAAAATACAATTCACACTTAGGTAGTCGTGTTGGCGAGACTTACGGGTGTAGACTCTGATGTTTCGGGGAGACATGTTCTCACAGCAAACTTCCGGACTCTCGGGCGCTTACCGTCTTTCCATCCTTTCTTCCGCAACGTTCCCTGAGCAATAGGTGAGGGAGTGTTTTATAGATCTATCTGTATATCAGGACTGGGCTCCCCAACTCTGCATATTGATTGGTTATGGTTTTCTGTAGTGGACTCAACAGGTCAGATCTAGGAATATATGCATACAGTAACTGATGAAAAGAGAGGTAGCGGGTTTGAAGGAGAGTAGGGACGGGTGTCTGGAAGGGTCTGGAATGGGAAATGTTGTGTTTAAAATACAATCTCAGGAATAAACTAGCTAAATGAAGGAAAAATTACATTAACCCTGGAAGCATATGTAGTTTTTTTCTCTTTTTTGTGTTTTTAAAATGTTCCCTCCCTCCCCTCATGCATTTGCAGTTGCCACAGCATGCATGCAGTCAAAGAACAACATATAGGAGTCAGTTCTCTCCTTCCACAATGTGAGCGTCAGATTTGGAACCCTGATCGTCAGGTTTGTTAATTAGGTGCCTTTATCTGCTGAACCATTTCTCATGCCCCCTGTTTTATTTACATACTTTTAAATAAATATGCAAAAATCACATTCAATTTTCAGTACCCACGGGATGGATGTTTATTTATTTTTTTTACAGAGAAATAGCAAAGTATGACAATTTTTGCAAAGACTATAAAAGACACTTTGTTGGGTTTTAATGGCAGAAGGGTTAAAATGTGTGCTCCTACAAGTGCCAAGGATAATTTAAATTCCTCCAGCCCGATGGATAGATAAAAAAGACAAGGGGAGACATGTTGGGAGAGACCTATTAAGTCATTGGGAAATTTTTGATAAATTCATTCTAAGAGGAAGAACTTTGGACAGAAATCAGAATGCACACACATAACAGCTACAAATAAGACTAACTTCTGGGACTCAGAAAACCAAGTACCTTGGACACTAGGTCGTTCCTAGAAGAAAGGACTTCATCTGTAGAGAATACGGAAATAAATGGTACTTTCAGAGAGAAGATTTAGCAGCAGCAAGGGGTGGCACAGCACATGGGGCGGGGGCAGGTGGAGATGACACAGGTGGGGCGGTAGCAAGTGCTCTGGCAGCAGACCTGACCGCAGACTGGACGCAGGCAGCAGCAGGGGCGGCAGCAGGGGCGGCAGCAGGGCTGGCAGCAAGGACTGCAACAGCTGGAACCACCACCACAGGAGGGCTGGCAGCAGCTGGAGATGCAGCAGCTGGGGCGGCAGCAGCTGGGCTGGCAGCAGCCTTGGCCACAGCCCTCCTCAGAGCAGACAGAGCCACAACAGGAGCTGACCATGGTGTTGGGAAGTGGAGGTTCTGGGTGTGTTTCCAAGGTGGTGAGAGTTCTAGTCTGGTCTCTCCCCTTGCTGTGTCTTGCTTTTATACCCTGCTGAGGGCTACTAATCACAGGGCTCTTGTTTACACTACAGAAGATAAGAGTTTTAGTCAATTAGTGTGTTTATCTATAAATAGAAAGGCTGCTTCCTTTTCCTGTTGTATTCTACGCTAATTTGACAAAGCTAAGAGAATCAGCTTCCCTTTTTCTTCCTTTGATACATCCCCTGAGTTAGACACAGTCCTTAACTTTGTCTCCTTGGGTTTAGAGGTAATTCTTTATGTCTAGCTTTATCCTTGGAGGAGCATGTTCAGAACATACATTGTGGTGACTATACCTCGGGCAGCAATAGGTTTGAAGCAGGTCTTATAGGATACTGGTGGAAAACCAGGATGGAATATTGGTATTTCGGGGGTATGAAGGAGATAGCTTGCAGTCAGCACAGAGTGTTTATTTCCTACCTAGTCGGGCAGGTGTGAGCAAACTTAGTGGCGGTCATATCAATTTCTTCTTATTTAATCTCCCCAAGGTGAAATGGCATTGCAATGACAATTATTTTTGAATAGCAAAAGCATATTGACATGATGGGTCCCAAAATTGTTAAATTACTAACGTTTTTCAGACTTGGGTGTTTTAAGGGTACATTTTGTTCAACTTTTTGATAAGTCAACAAACCCAGTGAGTATGTGTGAGGCAATCATATTAATACATGGTCTGCAAGTATGAAATTCCCAAAGAATAAATAAAAAGGAAACTTACTACTGTTGTTTATGTAAATTGAGATAAAGGCAAACTGTTTTCTAGGTGTGCATGTTTGTAACTGTAGACAAACGCTACTCTTAGCCTTAAGCAGAGAAACTTCTCTTTGCAGCCAATAGCTGCAAAGACAGAGATGTACCAGGGCCCAGACTGCCGAGAATAAGTGACAGCTGAACGCTCAGCTCTAAGTTCTCATACCACATCCTCCAAGGCTCAGGGAATGTCGCCAAAGAGCGCAGTAGCCGAATGTACGATCAGAAGATAGGAAGGAAGGCTGTGGTCTGCCACCCTCCAAGCAAGGAACAGTCTCTGCCAGTACAAACTCAGCGTCTGTTCTTACCCGCTCTGATCCCGCACAAGACTGGCCCTGTCAGCAATCAGTCACACTTTAGGGCAGGGCTGTAATCATTCCTGCTGAACTTTTGGCTTCCGATAGATTCTGGGCAAGGTGTAGTCCTTGCTTTTCTTTCCTTTACTCACTGGTGAGTAGACCAGGCTCCAGTGAGCACCAAACAGATAGGTTCAGTTTAGCTTAGTGGACCACAAAACAAAAAGACATAAATGAGGGAGCAGTATTTGTAGTGACAGCATTGGGGGGAGGGGCGCTAGTGGGGAGGCAGACCAGGCTCTCCTAGTAGCCTGACAGAAATCTAAGCCTTGGTTTAATAAAAATGGGACAGAGCTAAATAGACAGTTCTCAGAAAAACCACAGCCTTCTGCTGGCTCAACAGGCACCCCAGGACCCCTTCTGCTGGCTCAGCAAGTCCACCCCCCAGCCTTAAAGATAGCTTTTCCTACCTGGCTGCTGGAAGGTTTCTAACCACTAGGACCTCCCACCAATCAGCACCCATACTAATCTCTCCTCCACCAATCAGCCCAGATTAATCCCTCTTCCCTGGAATTCCCCTAACTTTTTTTAAAGGAGCCTGTGACTTTCTTTGGGGTCGCCAAGTGCCACCCCAACGTTGGAATTAATAAAACGCTCTTGTTGCTCATGTGGCTGTTGGTCTTTGGGGGCTTCTCTCAGACCCTAACAGTATGAAGGCGGGGAACTGATGGAGTGTGAAAGAGATAAAAAAAAAAAAAAGGGTGGGGGTGAGAATAATCAGAATGTATTGTACCAACGAATAAAATTGTCAAAGAATAGATTTAATTAATGAAAATGTAAAAATATTAAATAAAGAATAAATTAATTCGAGAATGACATAACTTCAGACATTAGACGTTTGTGATAAGTGGTGGATAATTGCGCTCCATTTCCACTTTCCAGGACAGCTTGAAATGTCTTAAAAAGGCACAGGAGAGATGAAAGGTGCACATTTATAATTATGTTTCTGATATTTTGTTTTATTTGCTTTGTTACTTTTAATCTTACTGTTTGTTTTTACTCTTTTTTTTTTTTTTTTTTTTTGAAAGAGAACACAAAGCTTGCTGGGAAGGAAGGTGAGAAAGATCTGGGGAAGCAAGGGGGATGGGAAAACATTATCAAAATATTTTGTATGAAAAAATGTTAAAAGAGAAAAAGAGAATGTAACAACATTAATATAATAATAATAATAACTTTGTTGATATTTGAGGTGGAAGAGTTACCTCCAATTAAATAGGATTGATTATTTAAAGGTAAAAATTAACGAGATTAGAAAAAGAATCAGCTGTTTAAGGGGAAAAATATGTTTCATATAAAGCTGCAGGACAATGGGAAGAAAAGCATGAAAACATCAAGGCCTTGAAAATATTTGGAGGTGGGGGATCTTTCATGCAGAATAAAAGAAATAAAATAGAGATGATACTTTTCACCCATTAGTTTGTCAAAAGCTCAAAATTTGATAATATGGAAATAAATGTGCTCATAATTTTCTTGTGATTTTCCAATAAATAGCATCATTATTCTTGGGCAAGCTATTCCAAATCTATAACGTATCCCCATATATAATCTGAAAGAAATATGTGAAAATATTTTTATAAGATTATTTATACCAGTTCTACTCATAAGGGGAAATAAAGTAACAAACAGAACTGGCCATAGGCTGGGCATCCTTCTATAGGATGCAGGGGACTAAATGACAGCCACTTTCTGTAACGCAGCACTATGCAGCCCTGAAAGTGAAGAGAGTGCCTCTCTGAGGGCTATGATGAAGCAGTATATTGTTAAGCATCAGAAAAGTAAGTATATCAAACAAGCACCACATTGTATGTCTAAACAGTCCATGATGCAAATATATGTGGGCTGGAGAGCTGCCTCAGACGTTAAGAGCACTGGCTGCTCTTCCAGAGGTCCTGGGTTTGTTCCTTAGCACCACATGGTGGCTCACAACTATTGGTAACTCCAATTCTGATGGGCGAGAGTCTTTTGTTTTGTGTTAATTTCATTGGTTAAATAAAGAAACTGCTTAGCCTTTAATAGGACAGAAAACTAGGTAGGCGGAGTAGACAGAACAGAATGCTGGGAGAAAGAAGCTGAGTCAGACAGTCACCATAATTCTCCCACCCAACACAGCCACAGGTTAAGGTCTTTCCTGGTAAGCCAGCTCGTGGTGCTATACAGAATATTAGAAATGGGTTAGATCAATATGTAAGAGCTAGCCAATAAGAGGTTAAAACTAATGGGCCAAGCAGTGTTTAAAAGAATACAGTTTCCGTGTAATTATTTCTGGTAAAGCTAGCCATGTGGAGCTGGGCGGGAACACAGCCCACAACAGCCCCTACTACAACACAATTCCAGTGGGTCTGACGGTCTCCATTGGCACTAGGCACTCATGTGGTGCATGAACATACATACAGACAAAACACCTACACGCATAAAATGAAATTTTAAAAATTTGTCACACACATGCACATTCGCTTAAAATTTCAGATGAGAAAGTAGAGGAAGAGGAAGAGAAGACATAAGAATAAAAGATCCCCACCAAAAACCAAGATTGCGTAGCAGGGGTGGGCTTAATTCTTGCCTGAGACAATTGAAAAGCCAAACAGAAAGGAAACAGAGATTTGTAGATACTGGCTGTCAGGTAGGGCAGGAGACTGGGCTAGTGATGTGTGGCAACGAGGAGAGGCCGAGAGGAGAAGGAAAGGATCTTGTGTTCTCTTTCAATGCTGGCCATCCCATTATTTTTAAATGAAAATATACCTTGTCTTTCCATAATAGCAACAACAACAACAAAAAAATCTATTTCTGCTCCAGAGGGCTCAGGAACATTCGGGGACCTAAGGTCTTTAGTTGCATGACCCTGATGCTACCATTCCACATCACAATGTTAGGGGATCTGTCTTGGTGTGGCAGAACCGTCTAGATTCTGGATAGAGAAGAAGCATCCTGGGGCTTGGTTTCTTTAAGTCACAGATTCATCTTCAACTTCGTCTTCCTCTGTTTGCAAATGAGAGCTTACAGACTAACACAGCCCCTCATCTCTCACGTCATCCTCTGACTTCAAGCTTAGCAGTTTCAGCTTTCGTTTTTCTCTTTTTAGAAAATCAATGTCCCTCAGCTAGAGACACCAACTATACTAGCTTTGCAGTTACTATGAGATGTTTGCATATGCATATTATCAGAAGATGCAGACCCATAGAATATGGGTCTTTCTAAAATAATTTTCTAATTTTTATCCATGGCTTTTCTAAAAACAAAGGAGACTGTTGATGAAAAAAGGCAAATGTAGTTTATTTTTTTTTTCACCAATAAAGCTTTTTCATTCACCCTACAGGTATGGCCAAAACACAAGTTCTTCAGGATTAAGAAGAAATTTTAGAGACTTATAAAATCACACTGGATTTTCTATATGGGATAGTAGTGGTTTATTTTGACACAGTGATTCAGCACAGGAAAACAAGAGGAGTAAGGATGACCAAAGTGTATCTTCAATGAACAATTAAGAGACTATAAAGATCAACAACATAGAAATATTGAAATCAGCCTGTGAACCTTTGAGCTTTGTGACCTGAACCTAGGAATTTAGAGAAATCTAGGAAGGATTGGTCAGGTCAGTTCAACAGCTTGTGAGGTACAAGCAAGTCCACACATAGATGGGGAGGAGAGGGCCACATGAGGGATTTGGATTGAAGTTAGAATAGTTGTTGTTGGGTCCAATAAAACACAGACATAGGATTCAACAAAACAATATTGAACCCATTCTGTGCATCCTTGTGGCCAGCGATGGGGACAGAGGTGAAATACAAGCTGGATCCATGGATGGAGGTTTAGCAGCAGCAAGGAGTGGCACAGCACATGGGGCGGGGGCAGGTGGAGATGACACAGGTGGGGTGGTAGCAAGTGCTCTGGCAGCAGACCTGACCACAGACTGGACGCAGGCAGCAGCAGGGGCGGCAGCAGGGGCGGCAGCAGGGCTGGCAGCAAGGACTGCAGCAGCTGGAACCACCACAGGAGGGCTGGCAGCAGCTGGAGATGCAGCAGCTGGGGCGGCAGCAGCTGGGCTGGCAGCAGGAGGGTCTGCAGCAGCTGGGGCGACAGCAGGTGGGCTGGCAGCACACAGACTGGCAGCAGCTGGGCCTGCAGCAGCTGGCCACACAGCAGCTGGGCCTACAGCAGCTGGGCCTGCAGCAGCTGGGCCTACAGCAGCTGGACACACAGCAGCTGGGACGGCAGCAGCTGGGCTGGCAGCAGCCTTGGCCACAGCCCTCCTCAGAGCAGACAGAGCCACAACAGGAGCTGACCATGGTGTCAGAGGTGGAGGTTCTGGGTGAGTTTCTGAGAAAGTGAGTTTTGAGAATTTGAAGGTCTCCTGGTTGATGTGCCCTTTTATACTTTGCTCAGCAACTGGTGTCACCATGAGCAAAGCCCTTTTCCTTGTTTTTCTTATTAGGGCATTAATTAGTGTTATTAAGGCATAATTATATTTGCAAGGTTAAATATTCCAGCATGTAGAAAAGGCATCAGTTTCTTTTTCTGCATTGTTGTGATTCATTGAACTGGGGCATGTGAGATGGCATTTGTGCTTCTGTTTCTGCCTGTGCACCTTCTAAACTGGGGCTAGCACATGGTACATATGTCACTCTGTGCCTGCTTGATAATATTTCTGGAATGGCTCACAAGACGTTGCCTCTCTTTATGTGGGTATGCATAAGTTATTGCCTGGTAGAGCACTGGTAAAGAGAGAGCCAGGGGAAAGATTCATGACTGTGTTCATAGCTCATTGTAAAACTTGTACTTGAATGGTTAGCTCTATATGAGTGTTTTCAATGACAAAGACCCATTTAAGGAGTCAAACTTATCCCCTAGCACTCCTCTCTACATATGGTATATGAAATGTGAATGGGTTTGATTCATTGTCTGATAAGTCAGCATACACAGTGGATTCTGATTTCTATTAAAAAAAAGTCCCATGTGAAGCAACCTTCCCTGACACTCTTTCAATAATTATGGGTTTGAGATACTGCTTGGATAATGAAGGCATAGAAGGCTTTGCTGTTTGTCCTATAAACTCTAAAGTATGCTATGTTAAAAGGGAAATTATGAAACAAATTGAAAGTTTTGAAGATCAGGATTCAAATCAATAATTAAACATCTCATATACTTTTCAATAAAAATCAAGATCACAGAAATCATCGCTGTTAGTGTTGGCCATGTTCCAGATCTCCTAATCATGCTTTGTGATTGTTCTAGTGAGTTTACTTTTCAAAGAACTCACAAGGAACATAGTCACTACAGCACCTACATAAATGAGTTCAAGTTGTTAGAGACTTTGGTAGTACCCAAGGCAGAAATATTAACTTCCACACCTTTTATTGTCCTGTTTTTTTCTCCTTAGAATGAGAAAGAAAATGGGAAATACACTTGAACGCATTGGCACAGGAGACCACTTCCTAAATATAACCCCAGCAGCACAGACACTGAGAGAAACAATTAATAAATGGCACCTCCTGAAACTGAAAAGCTTCTGTAAAGCAAAGGACACGGTCAACAAGACAAAATGACAGCCTATAGAATGGGAAAAGATCTTCACTAGAATACACAAATAACTCAAGAAATTGGACAGCAAAAGAACAAACAATCCAATAAAAAATGGACTACAGACCTAAACAGAGAACTCTCAACAGAGGAATCTAAAATGCCTGAAAGACACTTAAGAAAATGTTCAATATCCTTAGTCATCAGAAAAATGCAAATAAAAACAACTCAGAGATTCCACCATATACGTGTAAGAATGGCCAAGACCAAAAACACTGATGACAACTTATGTTGGAGAGGTTGTGGGGAAAAGGGAACACTTCTGCATTGCTTGTGGGAATGCAAGCTGGTACAACCCCTTTGGATGTCAGTGTGGTGATTTCTCAGAAAATTAGGAAACAACATTCTTCAAGACGCAGTAATACCACTTTTGGGTATATATCCAAAGGATGCTCAATCGTGCCACAAGGACATGTGCTCAACTGTGTTCATAGCAGCTTTGTTTGTCATAGCCAGAACCTGGAAACAACCTAAATGCTCCTCAACCGAAGAATGGCTAAGGAAAATGTGGTACATTTACACAATGGAGTACTACACAGCAGGAAAAAATAACGACATCTTGAATTTTGCAGGAAAATGGATGGAGCTAGAAAACATTATTTTGAGTGAGGTAACCCAGACACAGAAAGACAATTATCACATGTACTCACTCATAGGTGGTTTTTAAATGTAAAACAAAGAAAACCAGCCTACAAACCACAATCCCAGAGAACTTAGACAACAATGAGGACACTAAGAGAGACTTACATAGATCTAACCTACATGGGAAGTAGAAAAAGACATGATCTCCTGAGTAAATTTGGAGCATGGGGACATTGGGGGAGGGTTGAAGGGAAGGGGAGAGACAGGGAGGGGAGCAGAGAAAATGTAGAGTTCAATAAAATTCAAAAAAGAGAATGTACCTTCTTCTGCTTCTTTCCAGAAAGTTTTTTTACTTCAAGTCAATGGGCAGCCCCAACATCCTTCTTTTGAGTATTTTCTTTGGCATTATTTTATTATTTTATAGAGATTTCATCTGCTTCTTTTACTTTCCTTTTTACTGGAAGGATCCCCACTCAAGCCCGAACGACTATAATCTGAATGTGTTCACTTGTCTCCTCTCAGACTATAAACTCCAAAAGCGAGCGTTTAAAACTACATATTACCATATCATTATCATGTGTGGTGATGGATGATCTTCATGGCCAACTTGAGGGGCTTTAGCATCTTCATGGAAACTCACATCTGGATGTATCAAAGAGAGTCTTTCGAGAAAACTTAACCAAAGCAAGGAAGACCCACCACCCTGAACATTGATGATATACTCCTTAGGCTGTGGTCCCATACAGAGTAAAGGAATAAAGGAGCAGAGAGCCTGCAGTCATCTTTCTCTGCTTCCTGACTGCAGATATGTGACCAGCCGCTCCACACCCTCCCTGCAGGTCTGACCCATCATAATGGATCATACACCCTCGAGTGTAAGCAAAGCAAGCCCTTCTTCCTCAAGTTGCCTTTTCCAGGTATCTAATCATGAAGAAAATGAATATACTTGGAATTGACTACACATTCCATGCTTGTTTCTCACACTCCTAAAAATTACTTTAAAATTTTAATTGCTTTATAATTATGTAAATTATTTTGGGGTTCAAAAATAACTTTTACAAAATGAGACATGTCCAAGGAAGCCTTGATTTTGTTTGTCTTCACCGCATGCATTCTCTCTCTCCTCTGTGAAGAGAAGTTGCTTTTGATTGACAAATGCTGTGTGTACATATTTGTGAGATACAGTGCAGTTTCTTGACTCGTGTGCATATTGGATAATGCTTACCTCAGACTAGTTAGAATACCAACCAACTTAAATGCTTATTATTTTTAACTTGAAGGCTGTCTTCACATTATTATTTCAATACAAGTTCACATTGTCTACAGGTCTTATTTATTAAATGTTCTTATACTGTGCACAGTTGATCACAGTTTGCTTTGGCTCATTTAATGTACCACAGCAATGGCAAATTACTGTTTATTCTATAGTAGTGACACCAGATATTTCTCATTGAATTTCTGCTATCCAATACTCAATTTTGTGGGCATAATACAGCTCATTTGGCTAGTCTTTTACTGAGAAAGATTTGGGCTATTTAAGGTTTTTTATTTGTTTTGCTTTGTTTTTGTTTTGTTTTCTTTCATGTGAACAAAATTTTCAGGGAGGGTGTATTTTACTTTATTTTGGTTTAGAGATCACTGCCAAGTACAAGCTTTACCTCGCATATTAATTACTTCAAATTCAGTCAGTTTTCCTTTGTGTTCTCTCTTTAGTCTCACAGTATATTGACTTTTGCTCTGATTCTTGCACCTCCTAGAGCACCTCAAACTTCCTAATGCCACAACCTCCAATAACAGCAGGTCCTCACCTTGTGCTGACCCCAACCATAAAATTATTTCATTACTACTTCATAACTCTAATTTTTCTACTGTTTTGAAACATAATGTAAATATTTGTGTTTTCAGATGGTCTTAGGCAACCTCGGTAAGAAGTCATCTAACCCCCCCCCCAAAAAGGTCACCACCACCACCATGCACTGTCCTAGAGTTTCTGAGTTAAGGTTTTGCTCTATACTTACGTATTTATGTCACCATCAGCTCACTAATAATTGTCTCTACAATGCCTTTGGGTTATTCAGCTCATTTAATTTTTGTCCTAAACAAATAGCTGAGGGCTTAGTTCCGTTTTATCCCCCATCCATGAGCCTGCATTTCTGGCTTCCTCTTCAAACTATAAGATTTCAGGCGCTCTCTAGAACAAAAAGGTAGGATATGTCATTAATAAAAATATCCTTTGGAGGGGCTGGTTTCCATTTTTCACCTAAAGTGGAATTCTAAAGCTCAATTTTATCCCTATGACTAAAATTACAAGCAGAAATACTATGTGCAAACTGAAGAGGACAAAGGTTTTATTTTTTTATTTGTTTTATTATTATTTCTTTTTATTTACCATATATGGTGTGTTGTCAGTACTTTCCTCTGTGTAACATGCGTGTACCTGGTGCTCATGGAGACCAGAAGAAGGTGCTGGATTCCTTGCAACTGGAGTTAAGGTCAATTGTAGATCCCCAATGTTGGTGCTGGAACACAGGTCCCTTGGAAGAGTAGCCAATGCTCTTAACCATTGAGCCATTGTCTCTCCATCCCCTGGAAAAACATTTGAGAGGGAACACATCAGACACCTTGTTGAGAAACACCATTATGTGTAGACTCTTGAGTGCAGTCTTGTGCGTGTTGGTTCTCATTGTTGCCTCGGCACTCACAAGGGAGGCTGGGTTGGAAGCATTCAGCAGATGGTCCTTGAATGAGTGTGTGAGAGAAATCGGAGAGGAATCTGGCTGCAGACTCGCTTTTCAGCGGGCCCACATGTCAAAAGGATGGAAACAATTGCCAGGAGCTGGGCTCTTCTCCTGTGGACATGCAGCCTGCAGCTGACCACAGTTAGACCACAATTTTCTTGTCTAGTTTCCCCACTGGATCTACTCTCTCCTCTGAGGTATGATTCTGTCCTCTGGATATATTGAAAACTTTCTATGAAAAGGAAAGGCGAGTTGTGGGTGAAGTACAACTCTATTTCAAGTACATTTTAATCTGCTATTTGAATATGCCTGCTATATTATCTTCTAATTAATATGTGAAGTTAACATACAATGTAGGGGTAGCCTCATTTACCGAGTTTCACCTTGGCATCTTTATACATAGGTGTTAATGTGCTTTGTTCTTCCACCGAAGCCCTGCCATGGAGGCAGAAGCAGTATGGGCTTGCGGCCTCTGCATCCCAAAGGTGTAAGCTATCTGGTGTGAAGTGTGAGGCATACGCTGTGCCGTTCATGCTCTGACATTCATAAAGTCCTGCAAGTATTGCTCCTTTTCACAGCCTTTCTCTTTCCCCAAAGTTGATTCACAGGGATAAGTAGTTTGCCTATGAAATAGTAAGACGCAAGGAGAAAAGTCAGCCAGTGGAGGCTGAAAAGCAAGAACATTTTCTTCTGTGCTCTGTAGGTGAAATACACTTGCTGTGTGTGTATGTCTGGCGTGTGTGTGTAGTGTGTGTGTGTGGTCTTTGTATGTGATGTGTTGGGTGCATGTGTGTGTGTGTGGTGTGTAGTGTGTGTGTGTTGTGTATGTTTGGTGTGTGTGTGTGGTGCGTGTGTATGTCTTGTGTGGGTGTGTGGTGTGCGTGCATGTGTGGTATGAGTGTGTATGGTATATGTTTGTGTATTCTGTAGGTGAAATACACCTCTCATGTGTGTGTCTATTTGTGTGCGTGTGATATGTCTGTGCTGTGGTGGTGGTGATGGTGGTGGTGGTGGTGTGTGTGTATTTGAGTAGGCCAGATGTCAACCTCTGATGTCATTCAGCAGGGTCTGTCCATCTTAGTTTTTGAAACAGAGTCTCTCCCTGGGACCTAGAGTTCACCAATTAGCCTAACATTGTTAGCCCAGCAGCCCAAAGGACTCACTTGCTTTGCTGCCCCAGGACTGAATTTGTGAGCACATGCCACCACACCTGGCTTTTACACAGATTCTCATTATTGAATTCAGGGCCTCACACTTGTGCAGCAAGTGCTTAACTGACAGAACTGTCCTCCAACCCCCAAACTCACTTGGTTAAGAAGAGTAGACACCTAGGCTGGGTGGTGATCGCACAACCAGCACTTTAATCCCAGCACTCGGGAGGCAGAGGCAGGTGGATCTCTTTAGGTTCGAGGCCAGCCTGGTCTACAGAGCAAGTTCCAGGATAGGCTCCAAAGCTACACAAAGAAATCCTGTCTTGAAAAACCAAAAAATAAAATAAAAATAAAGAATAAAAAAAGAAGAGGAGACACCATCTTAAAAGAGTACCAGTCACATTGAATTTTTATTGCAGAGAAACGGGAAGTTTGATTTGGTACAGAAATATATCAGATTATTGCAGCTACGAAGTCCTGTAGAGAAGGTATGAGGAGATGTATTTTTCCAGTTGTTTGTTGGCTGAGTAAAATTTGTTTCCAGATGAAATCCAGATTCCACTATCTGGCTCTTCACTGGACTTGTGAAAATGAGTTTCACAGCATCAACCCACATACACAAAAGATCTAAATCTAGAGAGAGGGAGATGGATTCATGGCAAGGGTTTCAGCAGCAGCAAGGGGTGGCACAGCACATGGGGCGGGGGCAGGTGGAGATGACACAGGTGGGGCGGTAGCAAGTGCTCTGGCAGCAGACCTGACCACAGACTGGACGCAGGCAGCAGCAGGGGCGGCAGCAGGGGCGGCAGCAGGGCTGGCAGCAAGGACTGCAACAGCTGGAACCACCACAGGAGGGCTGGCAGCAGCTGGAGATGCAGCAGCTGGGGCGGCAACAGGTGGGCTGGCAGCACACAGACTGACAGCAGCTGGGTCTGCAGCAGCTGGACATACAGCAGGTGGGCCTGCAGCAGGTGGTCTGGCAGCAGGTGGTCTGGCAGCAGCTGGGCTGGCAGCAGCCTTGGCCACAGCCCTCCTCAGAGCAGACAGAGCCACAACAGGAGCTGACCATGGTGTCAGAGGTGGAGGTTCTGATTAGTAAGGGAGTGAGTGGTGAAGTGAATCTGAAAATCCCCCTGCTTTGTGCCCCCTTTTATATTCTGCTAAGAGTGCTGTGACCACAGCCTGGGGTATTTCCAAGTTGTTTTTCTTTTCCCTGAAGAAATAGGCATCATTAAGTCTGATAATTGGTTTTCCTTTTAAAATACTTGATGATAAAGACAAATAAGATTTCCTTTTCCTTGTGCTTTAAGATCACCCACTCTGGTTTTTGTCATAGAATTGCCTTCTCTGTTTCCTTATTTGTCCACTCTGCTTCTTGGATGGGTCTGCCTGATGGGTTCAGTCACTGTTTATGCCTGTGGTTTGTGTATCACGCATCATGCTACTTCAGCCAATGTGTCTCATGATGCTCACATCTCTTTTGATGTCGAAGGGAAGCATAATGAGAGTAGGGAAATGGCGGGTGGGGGGAGGTTATCCATGTGAGGTAGCTCCCTGTGGGCTATGAGGAAGAGAATCTTGTCTGTGAGTCACGGATGCTCATTAGATGGTAGGCCATCGGGACTACCTTGGGCTACGCAGTAGAAAAGATACTTCCTTTACCAAGTTTCAAACTGTCACCAATGACTCACTGTTTTAAGTATGAAAAGGCCTTTGGTGCCACCTCGAAGGCACTCTCACTGACCCAGTATGGGACAACTTAAACACCAGAGCAAATAATGAAAGCAGTGGATTTCAACACATCACATAAAAATAAGAATAATCAGCCCATACCAAGACTAAGTAGAGAAATAGAAGACAGTGAGAAAGAAGCTCTCCACAACAGTGGAAGGTGATTTGTTAAATGGGAAAGGAGTAAGGGAGTCTCTATATCCATCATAATAAAACTTGGTCAGGGAAATCTCAATGAATCCTAAAATGATTGGAGAAAAGTTTGACTAGGAATGTAATATTTGTATATTTAAAAATATTTCCCTTCCAATTATTTATCAATTTCAAAATAAAAAAAATACTAAGTTACTATGAAAGAACTATTAACCTGGGGATCAGAATTGGTTTTAGGGCTGTGAAAATGACTCAGTGCTTGCTCGGCCAGCATGAGAACCCGAGTTCAAACGCCAAAAGGTATTCCAAGCATAGTGGCATGTTTTCACCTCAGCACCATGGAAGCAGAAATAAGCAGAACACTAGGGCTTGCTGGCCAGTCAGGCCAGTGAGTGGTCGTGTCTCAAAATCAAAGTGATAGACAGTGCCTGAGGCATGATCTCTAAGGTCATCTTCTGGTCTCCACAAACAGGAGCATATATTTGTAACTGCACACACGTGAATGCACACACGTGTGTATATGCACACATGTAGTAAATGCAGCTACACTTTGAAAAGACACCTCGTTTATTATTTCTGTCAAAGGCATAATGGGGCTGTAACTATAAGAAAACATAAGACAAACAAAGGCTGAAGTATTCTGCGCATAATGACTGGCCTGCCATCTTTAGCACTCTGACAGACTCTTCTAATACAGTGATAGGCTGAGGAAATGTTTCAGATTTAAGAAAATAAAAGAGGTTCAGAATCTAAGTGTAATGATTAGCTATGAACAGAAATTTATTTTTAGGACAGTACTGGCAACATTTGAATATGGAATGCACATTAGGTAATACATAATAGTATTATATAATACATAATTTAATTTTATATCTGTATTTTGATTATATAAATATGTCCCAGTACCTCTGCCATAAGTCTGGAATCTCAGAAAGCTAAGAAATGGGCTGAATCTAGCCATCAAAACCACAGCTTTAATCAGCTTCATATTGTTTAGCAAATTAAAGATTCAAGCGGTCAGAAAAAGAGAGATATACAGTAAAGAGAGATTCAAAAACTAAGAAAACCTCTAAATGGTTTATAGTGTGTTAAAAATATATGCAGGCTTGAAAAACAGAGGTTAAAGTCCTTAAAATAAAAAATGAGAGAGAGTAGTTGGGTGTGGTGGTACACATCTTTAATCCCAACACTTGAGAGACAGAGGTAGACTGACCTCTGTGACTTCAAGGTGTGGTAGCACACACCTTTAATCCCAGCACTGGGGAGGCAGAATCTGGCAAATCTCTGTGAGTTCAAGGAAAGCCTGGTCTACAGAGTGAGTTCCAGGATAAAGATGCACAGAAACCGTGTTTCAAAAAGCCAAAAATTAAAAATAAAAGAAATAGAGTTTAAAACAAAGCCTCATAAAGATGGAAAACACACAGGGAATCTGGATACTGTATGTTATTGTGCTCTCTTTGAATTGTTTGAATGCTGAGGAAGGAGCAACAGCTGCTAAAAGATATTTGCTTATAAATGCTGTTGAATTAATCCAAGATAGGTATTTTGAAAATACCTTGACTTCAAAATTGAAGTCAAAAGGTATGTTCCTTTGGAGAAGAGATTTTGCTTTTGTTTCTACAGGAAATGAGAAGCTGTGGATTCATTCTGAATTAAGAAAAATAAGGTTTGATCAAGGAAGACCACCTGAGAAATCTCCAGTAGGAACAGATGGCCCAGATATTAGAGTTCTACATCCAAAATAGATTCAAGACTACTGTCTGAGATGATCAAGACTCACAGGATACTCCAGTCAGGACTTGATCATAATTCTAAATTTCTAATGGGGACCTAAAGAAAATTAGACAAGATCTCCTGGGTAAACTGTGGGCAAGGAGAATAGTAGAGGGGAGAGGATGAGGGAATGGGATGGCCAAGCTGGGGGCATGAATGGAGTAGCTAAGCAATGAAAGAGATATATTGATAGAGGGAGCCATTATGGGGTTAGGGAGAAGCCTGGTGCTAGGGAAACTTCCAGGAATCCACAAGGATGACCCCAGCTAAGACTCCTAGCAATAGTGGAAAGGGTGGATGAACTAGCATTCCTCTGTAATCAGATTGGTGAATACCCTAACTGTCATCATAAAGCCTTTATCTAGTAACTGATGCTTCATCTAGTAACTGATGAGACCAGGTGCAGAGCTCTATAGTCAAGCACCAAGCTAAGCTCTGGGAACTCAGTTGAAGAAAAGAGGGATTAAATGAGCAAGGTGGGGTGAGGGGGTGTGTGAAGTTCATGATGGAAAAATCTATAGGGACAGCTTTAACAAGTTCATGGGAACTCATAAACTCTAGATCGACAGCTGTGGAGCCTGCATGGGACTAAACTAGGCCCTGTGCATATGGAAGACAGTTGTGTAGCTTTGTTTATCTGAGGGTCCCCTGGCAGTGGGACCAGGATCTATCCTTGGTGCATGAACTAACTTTTTGGAGCCCATTCCCTATGGTGGGATACCTTGCTCAGCCTTGATGCAGCAGGGAGGGGCTTGGTCCTGCCTCAATTTAAAGTGCCAGGCTTTGTTGACTCCATATGGGAAGCCTTACCCTTTAGGAGGAGTGGTTGGGGAGTGGGTTGGGAAAGAGGCAAGGGGGGCAGGAGGAGGGATGGATGGGAGAACTGTGATTGGAATGTATAATGAATAAAACAATAAATAAATAAAGTAAAAAAGAACATCCCCAGAACCAACAACTAGAAGCAGCTGAGATGAGATTAAAAACAAAACAAACAAAAAAACCCTATACTCCACAAAAATGAAAAGTCTAAAAGAATGGATAATTTTCTCAATAGATAACAAAGTTAAATCAAATCAGATAAACAACTTAAATGACCTATAACCCTTATGGAAATAGAAACAGTCATTAAAAGTAACCCCCTTCCCACCACACCAAAAACATCCAGGGCCAGAAAGAAAGTTTTAGCACAGAATTCTACCAGACTTTCGAAGAAGAGTTAATGCCAATACTCCCTCAAATTATTCTACAAAATAGAAACAGAACAAACATTGATAAATTCATTTTATGAGGCCACAGTCATTCTAATGCCCAACCACACAAAGATTCAGCAAAGATAACTATGGACAAGTTTCCCTTATGAACATAGATTAAAAAAAAAAAACTCAACAAAATATTTGCAAACCGAATCCAAGAACACATCAAAAAGATCATCCACCATGATCCAGTAGGCTTTGTCCCAGAGATACAGAAATAGTTCAATATATGTAAAACAGTCAATATAATCCACCATATAAATGAACTGAAAGAAAAAATCACATAATCATTTCATTAGATGTCTAAAACAATCTTTTATAAAATCCAACACTCCATTTATGGTAAATGTCATGGAGAAATTGAGGATACAAGGGAAAAACTAAACATAATACAGCAAGCATATAGCTGACATCAAATTAAATGGAAAGAAACTCAAAGCAATTTTATTAAAATCAGGAATAAGACAAGGTTGTCTACTTTCTAAATATCTGCTTAATATAGTACTTAAAATTCTAGCTAGAGAAATAAAGACAACTGAAGGAAATAAAGGGCACAGAAGTTGTAAAGAAGTCAAAGAATCATATTTGCAGATGATATAACAGTATACATGAGCAAGCCCAAAAATTCTACCAAGGAACTCCTACAGTTGATAAGAATCTTTATCAATAAGACTAGATATGAGATTAACTAAAAAAATTGGTAACTCTCTAATATAAAAATGACAAACAGACTGAGATAGGAATCAGGGAAACATCACCTTTCACAATAGCCACAAAAATATAAAAGATCTTGGGGTAACCCTAACTAAGCAAGTGAAAAATTTTTATGACAAAAACTTCAAGTCTTTGAAGAAAGAAATTAAATAAGATATCAGAAGACGAAAAAAATCTCCTATGCTCATGGATTGGTAGGATTAATGGTAAAAATGGTCATCTTACAGAAAACAATCTACAGGTTCAAGTAATCCCCACCAGAATTCTAACACAATTCTTTGCAGGCCGTGAAAGGACAATACCCAGTTTCATATGGAAAAATGATAAACCCAAGGTAGTCATACCTTGGCATTTAAAAAAGATTTCCCTCCATGTGTTCTTGACACTTCACTTGTCTTAAAGTCCATGAAGATGTTCTAAGAGATGATGGACTTGAAAGTGTTTTAATGGATTGCTGTGGAAAGCTGGCTGTTGCTTGAATACTTGGTACAGAATCTCTTATTCTTTCACCTTTTTATTTTCTTTTTTATATATAATTTAATTTTTTATGTTCATTGGTGTTTGCTCTGTATGTATCTGTGTGAGGGTGTTGGATCCTCTGGCACTGGAGTTACAGACAGGTGTGAGCTGCCATGTAGGTGCTGGGAATTGAACCTGGGTCCTCTGGAAGAGCAGCCAGAGTTCTTACCTGCTTAGCCAGACCTACTTTGTTTACTCTTCATTCTTTGACATTTTCATTCCTGTATGTAGTGGGTTTTAGTCTTTCTCATTTCCTGTCCTCCAGTTTTATCCCTTGCTCAGACCCAGAACTTTCTCCTGACTGGCCCCTCCCCCTTTTCATGCCTTCGTCTGTGGGAGTGACCTAATGGGCGTAAGCAGGCCTGGCTCATGAGCATGGATAGAAGGTGATTTCTTGTAACATGGGCAACTCATCAGCAATTAGGTCTCTGAAGACAGTCGGCATCTCTCAGCCGTCATCAGCAAAGCCTCTTTTTTCAGGGGACGTGGGCAGTGAATGCAGACTCACAACCACTAAAGCAGAGGAGAAAGGACTGGTGAGAACTCAGCCCTCAACTGGACAGTTTATCACACATGCGTGTGTATGCATATACACACAGACACGCACATGCATGCACATGTACACCTACACGCTTACACACTCTGCTCGGAAAAGATCACGAAAAACAGTGGAAAGAGTGCAAAAGCCAGCAGCGTCTTTTGACATGGCAGCTTGATGCGCTCATGACCTCCCTGCAGCTGACTGATCGCAATGACTTCCTTTTTTTCCAATTTTCGACTCACCGTGTTGGGAATTTTCTGAAGTCACGAGAACCGGACAGGAAAGTTCGGTGTAGTTGGACTTCGATTAAAATTTCCATTAACTGAAGACAACCGTTATAAAGCAACAGACACGGAAAAATTGCATTTCTATTCCAATTAAAGGTGTTTTATTTAGAAGTAACGGCAATAAGGCACAGAGATGTCACAGTTACGGGGAAAACAAGATGGCATTAGTCTCTAGTGAGACTTTGAGCTGTAAAGATATAAACTGACTCTACAGGGACTGGAGGGATTTCCATTTTGGATAGAGAGGACATGCACTCTGATTATTTTTTAATATAATATTCTGTATTAATTATTTGAGAATTTCGTACACACAATGTATTTTGATCACACTAATACCCCCATTCCTCCCCCTAACTCCTTCAGGATTAGCTCCCACCTCCCTCTATTATTAATTTCTAAATCTGCAATTTCATATTTTGGCCTGAGACGAGGTAGAAGTCAAAAGAGGCAGCTATCCTGAGTCTAGGACAGAGAGGAATGGCCTCTCTAAAGATGGCTTTTCATAACAAAGGAGGTGGTGAAAATGGGCGCGTTCAGGGAAGGAAGGTCTCAGCAGCAGCAAGGGGTGGCACAGCACATGGGGCGGGGGCAGGTGGAGATGACACAGGTGGGGCGGTAGCAAGTGCTCTGGCAGCAGACCTGACCACAGACTGGACGCAGGCAGCAGCAGGGGCGGCAGCAGGGGCGGCAGCAGGGCTGGCAGCAAGGACTGCAACAGCTGGAACCACCACAGGAGGGCTGGCAGCAGCTGGAGATGCAGCAGCAGGGTTGGCAGCAGGGGCTGCAGGGGCGGCAGCAGGGCTGGCAGCAGGGGCTGCAGGGGCGGCAGCAGGGCTGGCAGCAGGGGCGGCAGCAGCTGGACACACAACAGCTGGGACGGCAGCAGCTGGGCTGACAGCAGCCTTGGCCACAGCCCTCCTCAGAGCAGACAGAGCCACAACAGGAGCTGACCATGGTGTCAGAGATGGAGGTTCTGGGTGGGTTTACAAGAGAGTGAGTTCCACGTTTTGGAGTCTCCTTGCTTCAGGCCCCCTTTTATACCCAGCTAAGTCGTTTCTGTAATTATGAAAATACTATTTCCTTGTTTTTGTTTACATGGTACAAATGCAAATTAATAGGCTGCAGATTTCTAGCAAAACCTACCAACAGGTAGGAAATAATTACTTGACTTTTCTCATGTTTCCTGGAGTTCCACAATGAATCACCTCTTGCATTTCCCCCTCAGTTGCCCTATTACATGGCCTCAATCCCTGCTTGTCATGTGACTCGGCAGAGTTGTTATATGTACTTCAGTTACCATTCCAACATGATTTTAGAGGGGCTACTCATGGAGCGGGAATTCGCGGTAGATAACCACTGGAATGAAAACAGGAAGAAAAGTCCCCCCCCCCCATCAAATGTGAGAATTCAAAACGCTCATGTTCCATGTGTACATTCTAGGTGCCTGTTGAGCTAGTGAAACTCCTAGGACATTCCAGGATGTGGTCAGTCTCAGAACCCCTCTGCACCGACCAAGGGTTAAGCATGACTTAGTGTTTTCATGCCCTGAAGAGTCATCTGGGACTGAGATCTGTCATTGGAGGTCCCCCAGACTGAGCTAGACGAACATATTTAATAATTTTAAATGCATTTTTTTCTGGGATATTAAGATATCTCATTGCTATACTTTACTGACATCTTACCAAAATATTTTCATATATCCTAGTTTTTGTAATCTGTTTAATTTTTAGAGACATTGAGATGAATATAAGACCTATTTCCAATTTTACATGTGCTTACACAGAAATTGTATTCATAGAGTTTACATCAGACATCAGGATTCCAGAGAAATGCTGCTTTCAACCGGGTAAGAGAAACTTCTCTATAGTGGGTGACAGTTAATGCAGTGACTTAGAGTCCCTAATAGGACATACCCATGAAGTAACCATAGTAACCTCAAATACACATATTTAGAATGACAAACAAATGAAATGAGAGCTAAGGGTAGTTACCATTTTATTCAGTATACATTCAGATGTGGCCAATAGCAACAATAAGTGAGCTCAGAAGGTTTATATAATTATATAACATATATATAATTATATATATTACATTTATATAATTACACATGCTACACATGTGACAATAGTAATCAAAGAGAAAGAGGCCATTGATTAGAGAGAGTGGAAAGGTATGGAATGATCTGGAGGGCGGAGACATGGGTGGAAGGGGAGGGAAGAAAGGGAAGGGGGAAATGATGCAATTCTATTTTAACTAAAGGTTAACTTTTTAAAAATATGAAATAAAATGGACTCAGTTTCACTTGTTTGCAAATATGATATCACCAATTGTATAATGGACATAAACTTTAAACTTAAAATGTTTATATATATATATATTTAGTTTTTAGAGACAGGGTTTCTCTGTGGCTTTGGAGCCTGTCCTGGCACTAGCTCCGTAGACCAGGCTGGTCTCGAACTCACAGAGATCCGCCTGCCTCTGCCTCCCAGTGCTGGGATTAAAGGTGTGCGCCACCATCGCCCGGCCTGACTCAGCTTTAGCTGCAAAAACCTTGCAGCTCTTTCAAGAGGCCCCCCAACCACAAAACACCATGAATAGCCAACAGTGTGCTTCTTGGTGGTGGCAGGGATGTTGAAACGCCATAGAATTGCAGCAATAAACATGGCTCTGGCCAGTACCTCCACCATGAGGCTAGACTCTCAGAAAGCTAAGAAATGGAGGTGGACCCAGCCATCAAAGCCAGGACTTTAATCCTAGACATATCACTTAGCAAATTAAAGACTCAAGTAGTCAGAAAAAGAGAGATGTAGTAAAGATAGAATCAGATAAGAAAACCTCTAAATGATTTACAGTGCTTTTAAGATTAAATGTAGGCTTGGGAGAGAAAAGAAAAAGGATAAAGTTCTTAAAATATAAAAGAAAGAGATTAGTTGGGTGTGGTGGCATTTGCAAGGCACAGGCAGGCAGACCTCTGCGATTTCAAGGTGTGGTGGCACACACTTTTAATACCAACACTTGGGAGGCAGAGGCAGGTGGATGTCTGTGTGTTCAAGGACAGTCAAAGATACACAGAGAAACCCTGTGTCAAAAGCCAAAAATTAAAAATAAAAATAAAATAGAGGGTAAAATAAAGCCACATAAAGATGAAAAATACACAGAGAATCTGGATACTGTATGTTATTGTGTTGTCTTTAAATTGTTTGATGGCTTCAGAAGAAGCAAAAGCTGCTAAAAAGACATTTGATTATAAATGCTGCTGGATTAATCCAACATATATATTTTGAAAATGCCTTGACTTCAAAATTTAAGTCAAAAGATATGTTACTTTGGAACAGAGGTTTTGCTTTTGTTTCCACAGGAAATGAGAGGGTATGAATTCATTCTGGGTTAAGAAAAATCAGGTTTGATCAAAGAAGAGGCCTTAAAAATCTCCAATAGGAACAGATGGCCCAGATTTCTGAGTTCTACATCCACAACAACCTCAAGACTACTGGCTGAGATGATCAGGCCTCTCAGTCAGGACTTGACCATAATTCTTAATTTTCTTTAGGTCCCCATGAAATTACCTGGTGTGAGAGAAGGAAACAGAACATGCACAAACCCGCTTAGGAGTTTATTAGAGGGGGTGCATACAGGGATGGCACATCCAGCTTTTAAAAACTGCCTAGCACATGCACACAGGGGGTTGCCGTGACTATGTCACATGCTGATGATGCAGATTATGAAACTCACATATGCACGCAAGGGTTTAGCTGAGTCATACATGGATGTAACCATGCATGTGTGCACATGG